GCCGATCTTCGTTACAAGCGTTCAACCACATGGCTGTTTGTCCCGGGATGGACGAATCAAAAGAGGTTAGCGCTTGTCTTTTACCTCCAGGAGTCAAGGAAACTTAGCTTTGACATCTTTTTGATTCCTTGCCATCAGGCGACGTCCTGCTGAGCATCAACGGTCAGGATCTGACGTACCTGAGCCACAGTGAGGCGGTCGGGACACTGAAAGCCAGCGCTGCTTCGCCCTCGGTGCAGCTGAGAGTTCTGGAAGTCAGCATGGTGGAGGAGCATGACCATGACGAGCTGCTGGCTCACACCCACGACAGCGATTTTGATGCAAACTGGTCCCCCTCGTGGGTCATGTGGCTGGGTCTGCCCAGGTAAGGAAGGTGACTTTGAAGGTGTTGACAGACAAGGTTGGTTTCCCACTGAATGTACACAGTTTATTGTATAAGATAGAGTTGATGGGAAGTGGAGATTGCAGCATAAAGGGACAATAAGTCTAAACATGCAGCCAAAGCTATATAGGAGAGTTTCTATAAAAACATATGCATGTATAAGAATGTCTCATTTAAAATCTAGAGATAAATCCATTTAAAAATCCAAAGCAAGACCTTATAACTGATCTTTACAAACACTCTACATCCAGATTGACTGAACTCGACGGTAAAAGAGTCTCCGGGTGTAAAAATCTTGCAGATGCATCCATCCACCACTTTGCATCTCACATTAAATCACAATAGAATACATTCAGGTTTGTGCTTATAACACGGTAAAAAGTAAAATGTTTTAAATGCAGAGTTTTAAATGTGAGCAAATGTTTTCTATCCTAATATTTCCCCCTTGCTGCAGCTACCTGCACAGCAGCCATGAGATTGTGTTGCGGAGGAGCCATCCTGGGAGCTGGGGCTTCAGCATTGTTGGGGGATACGAGGAGAGCCATGGCAACCAGGCATTTTTCATCAAGACCATCGTCCTCGGCACGCCTGCATACTACGATGGCCGCCTTAAGTGAGTTTACTGTGATTGTCGCTTAGAGCAGGGATGTCAAACTGGTTCCAGAAAGGGCCGTGTGGCTGCAGGCTTTCTTTCCAACCAAGCTATGGTACACCAGACTCCATTTATCTCATCAAGTGAGTCCAGTCTTAACATGATGACTTGATGAGATGAATGGAGTCAAAGCTTGGTTGGAAAGAAAACCTGCAGCCACATGGCCCTTTCTGGAACCAGTTTGACACCTGTGGCTTAGAGCAACACTGCGTAACTTTTGATCTATATATTACCTAAATTTGAGATATATTCAATGAGTTTTTATGTGGGCTTCCTGTCAAATCAGAGGGTCAGATCCCTCACTCCATAAATCAAGCGACCAACATTGCTTCTGAGCTCGCTTTGAACAAGAACACTAACTAAGCCAAGTTTTTGTTAGGCAACAAAACAGATATGACACCTGATCAGAAATATTTTTGGTAGGATTTTATCTAGCGAGGTAAAAGTTGCCTAGTAACTCAGTGCAACTCCATGACTTCTCATTCAGGTGGTCCAAAGGGGTCTGCTATTAGTCCACTGATTCATTTTCTGACAGTGCAGTTACAGGTCTAGCGCCCCCTAATGGCTAAAAGTTACACAGTCAGAGAAACAGGACTACACTGAAAAACTCCGGGATGGTGTCACAGCCACATGGGAAGAGACCATATAAAGCTACTATGAGATGAAAATTTCAAACATGAAATGAAACAAATAGGGATGAACAGTAAGTCATGTTTATGTTGTCATAGTGTGGTGGAGGAGCTGAAGAAGAAATACCTGTTTTCATTATGAGAATGCACAGCATCGAGCTAAAAACGTCTCTGTTAATAACAAGGACTGCATGAATGTCTCTGTGAGCTTTAGGTTTGTCTTCCTCACGTTGATGGGGTCCACTTTTCCTTTCTTATTCTAGGTGTGGAGACATGATAGTGGCAGTAAACGGCCTCTCCACTGCAGGAATGAGCCACTCAGCTCTGGTGCCCATGCTAAAGGAGCAGCGCAGCCGGGTGGCGCTGACTGTGGTCTCCTGGCCCGGCAGCCTGGTATAACCAGGACTAAAGCCAGCAGGCTTCACCCAGAATGTTCTAAACTGGGGAGCAACCTCGGCCAAATGAACTGGTGCATCCTACTGTACATCGCTCCATATCGGGCTTAATCCAGGACCAAACACATCCAGGACTGTTGAAGACCCAGCAGGACCAAGTGGGGGGAAATGATCCAGATTGTGCCACGTCACTCGACAGACTGCACTCCTAAACAGACACTGCTGTGTTTCATATGGTCATGTCGTCTTCACTCCCAAAAGGAGAGTCGTGCTCCAACTGTTAACATGCAGTTTGTGCTGTGTTCACCTCACTGAGCAGTGGTAGAACCTCAGGGTTTTATTCAGACGGAGGCATCATTGGAAGTTGGTAAATAAATAAAAAATTGATTGAACAAATCCTCTTGTTCTGCTGCACCAGTGATGTTTCCATCTGAATGAGCCCAAGGCCTTATTATAGAAAGCTGCCACATCCTGAGGGAGGTCAGCCCTCAGGTATCATCACCATACAACCAGCTGACCTTTTATACATGTGTGAATGTGTGTTTGTTTAATAAACGTTTCCTTTTAAAGGAAAAGTGACTCCATTACTGAGTTTGTACCTGATGAAGATCTGGTTGATGAAAATTACTGCCATAAATGTTTCAACTCAGATGAACAGAAGAGCTTTAATGCTTCTCTTTTTCCCCATTTTCTGACTTCGATCTAAAAACATGAATCAATTAGATTTATTGCAAGCGATAAACTCCATAATAGCGAAGAAAAAAAAAAGTCAAAACTGCTTAGTGCAAAGTTGTACATGTGTAAAAAGACGACATTAAGTAGTCCTGACTGCAACAACCAAAGGGGAAAACGTTACATTTGGAAGATGCAGCTATTGCATAATACTAGGGTCACTTTATACACTTTGATACACACACACTGCAATTGACACCATTTCATTAATGAAACATTGTAGCAGCATTCTGCTGTGGGGAAGCTTTTCTCAAACTGGGAGGGAGAATGGATGCATCTTAATGCAGGTAAATAAACCTTAATAGGGTAAATAAAGGTACCTCTAGAACGAGTGTGTAGGGCAGGCCATTTTCACATTTATTAGCTTGACTGAATACATATTTCATATATCTGGAATGCATTTCTTTCTAGTCAAAGTAAACATTTCAGGTATCCAATATAAAATTCTTCCTATTTAAAATAAACCTTTCAGATATCTTAAATGTAATTCTTACTAATACAAATTACATCACATTCCCCATTTATGTCTAATGAGCTTTTACTTGCTGATATTATAAACATTCTTCCGATCTAAAAATTTTGATCAGGATGAACTCTAATTTCAGATCACCATAATACAGCTAATACTAATTATAATGACAATATCAGACATTAAAAAAGGAATAGAACAATCTAGATATCCAGAAATCTATTTCTTGACATCAAAAATATATTTCTACTAGTAAAAATATTACAGATATAAACTGCTGATATATGGCTCGTTAAATTAGAATTCCAGATATCTGAGTATTTATTCTCCAGGGACTCTGTTTTTACATAAATTAGGCAGGCTGACTCTCACATTTCTATTATAGATAGCACCAAAGCATTCTACCTAGTCACAATCGCATTATACTGTAGATATAATTACATTTCTGCTCGCAGAAATGACCTATTAACTAATCGAAATCAAATTTTTACTAGTAAGAGCTACATTTTATATTTACCCATCCATGTGTATCGGGCAGTCCCTTTTCGATATCTGAGATGAGTTTATTCCTATCTAAACATTCTGGATGTCTAAAAATTAATTTCAGATCTCTGTATTCCAATTGGTACTGGCCATGATTTATTTTTTTTCCCCAGATATCAGGAATGAACAAAGCATTGCAGATATATAGGTTATAATTTCTGACGTGGAATATATATATTTTTACTAGTAAAAATGTCATTGATATCTATAGCTACAGCTTTACTAAGAACAATATAGTTGTAGATATCCATAATTGCAGTTCGCAGGCTGTTTTGACATTTATTATTCTCTCTATTATTTGTCTCTGTTAGTACATTTCTACAACCAACAGCTGGGCCTAATTTATCTAATTGGAATGTAGGGATGTCCTGCATGTTTACAATCCTACTAGTCAGAACTATAAATATGGATATCCTAAACTATGTTTTTGCCAGAAAAACTAAATTTCAGGATGCAAAAAAATATAACTACTAGTAAAAATAAAGTTTCAGATACAAATAAATCTTTACAAATTTTAAGGGGCCATTTTTTTTAAATGTATTAGGTTTACTTGATAGAAGAGAAAATCCCTTTATCGTCCCACAATTGGGAAATTGTGGTGTTACAGCAGCAACAGCATTGCAGCAAAAGTGGTCACACAAATGTGGACCTTAAAAGTGTACAAGTATAATTATAATTATATAGTGGCAGAGTTAACAGCAGAAACAGGGTAGATATTCATACAATTCAGAGATGAATGGGGGGGACCGAAGACCTCTGGGTGATCCAAAAAATAAAACCTTTAATATCTTCCAACAGTATCACAAATGAATGGTTTGTCTTGTCTAAACAAAGCAGTCCATTTATCTGGACTGCATATTGACCCAATTAGAATTTTAACTGAATGTTTTAGTGGCCCTTATACCTCATCCACCCAGACAAATGCCTAATTGCAGATTATCCTCAAAGCAGTATTGTGGAGTAGTAGAAATGTGATTTTTTTTTTTTCCTGAACTCTTTAAATCAGTTTTGTTTTGCCTTTCAATTGCAACAAGTATAAATAGCAAAAGTCTGTTATCTAAAGTAGTTTGAGCCATTTAACAGTGACTTGAAATAGGATATGCTTTAGAACCAGAGTATAAAACAAATTCACTTCATTATGCTTTGCATGGGGCTTTATTCAAACCTTCTGAATCACTGCCAGACAGATTAGTCAGATTCAAGGTTTTTCATCAGTTAAAGTTGTGGTGTGCAACTTTGCAGCAAGCTTGCTAGTTTCTTCTTGATCGTTTGCAGTCGACTGGGTAGCCTCCTGCACAGCCTGCGAGAGCTGCTTGTTTTTAGGCTTCTTTTTCTGGAAAGAGTGCAATAAAATATACTTTGTTTTTAAAATGAACAGAGCATGAAAAGACTTTATATAAACTTTACCTTCAGCTTTCTTGCAGGGTTATGAACCACACCATGTCGCAGCAAGCTTTCCTGTTAATCAGAAAGCATTTCAGTCAACCCCCATGCTGGTTTAAATAAACTGATACTTAGGATGTAAGGGGTTTAAGTCAAAGCTCTATTATTTGGAGCTCATCTTACATATCCAATATCGACATTAGGTCAGATCTGAGCATCTTTTCCACAAATGTCAAGCACTTAATTTAAAGTATAAGCTTCCTCTACTCTACAGTGGATCCATTTCTTAGGACAGAGTCTAGTTTTCCCCTCAAAGAACACTTTGCCATAAACCTGAAGCCATCTTTTACCTTCAAGGCAAACCTCTTCCCACAGCCATCATATGTACAAGTGAAGGTCTTTTCCAAGTCATGGTCTCCCACCACATGCTTCTCCAATTTAAAGCGTCTGGTGAACTTCTTGTTACATCCCTTTGTGGGGCATGCAAAGTACCTCTTCTCCCCAGAGTGCAAGCGGAGCACATGCAGGTGCAAGAACCAAGGGCTGTTGAAGAGCTTTTTGCACTCTTCGCACACAGCCTTCACTGAAAATGATACATTTTTTAAAATATTTAATAGGGGTTTAGAAAAAGCCTGCACAAATATAGCATTGCATTTATACCTTTGTGTTGTGCTCTGTGCTTTAGATATTCAGTCCATGTTTTACCTTTGTACGAACACTGTTCAAAGGTGCAGGGGTAACCTAAAGAAAGGAGAAGTGTTGGTTAAAGATCGACTCTACAAGAAAAAAAAATAAATAAAAGTCAAACCAACCCTGGTGAACTTTCTCATGATGCTTCAGTTTGTCTTGGCTCGGAAACTCTTTTCCACATCCACTGAATGTACAGCTGTAGGAAAAAAGTAGGAGAAGCTTAGAAGAGAGACCAACATTTGTAGATTTTCATTTTTAAAATGCATCCAACAAGCACTCACCGAAAAGCAGAAGGTTCCCCATGCTCACTCTTGTGGGCATTTAGTTGTTTTTTCTTGCCAAAATCTTTCCCACAGCCTTGATAGTCACACTAGAGGGGGAAAAAAATGCAAGTCTAGAAAAATAGAAGCAAAAGTCCATTGATGCAAAAAAAGGAGGGAACTGCTGTACTTGATATCGCTTTTCTTGGTGCTGGTGGACTCGAGCAACATGGCTTTTCATGCTGGCATTAGTTGCAAAAACCTCCAAGCATCCATCAGTAAGACACCTGCAAACCAGGCGGGTAACCAACACCAACCAAAAAGGGGATTATTACTTTAAGTAGGGGATGTCTTACTTGCGGGGTTTTTCACCACTATGCACCCGTTCATGCCTGGTGAGCTCATAGCGAGTGTAGAAGGTCTTCTCGCAGTTCTCACAGGAAAACGGTTTCTAAGACAAACCCACAAAGTTGTATTGAGTGAGGCAGGAAGAAAAGGAGCTGGCATGCATGCATGAATTCGTTTAACCTTACCGATCCACTGTGTTTGCACAGATGAGCCTCTAACTTCCATGACTTCCTAAATGTGGCATTACAATCAGAAAAAGAGCAAACATATGTGTTTTGACTTTGCAACCTCTCACCCATCTTTAATATCAGGTTTTGCAGCACAAGATCAAACAAGGATTTGTCAAATAAATCAGCAGGACACTCAATGACCTGCAACCTACAGCTCCACCTGGGCCTAATTTATCTAATTGGAATGTACCATATACCGAAATAAAGGGGTGTTCTGCCTGTTTAAGCTGAAACAAAAAACTAATAGGAGAGTGTATTTTAGACAATCCTCTAATCAGGTTTTGATCAGGCAATCCTGTTTTTTTTTTTTTTTTTTTGTTATTCTGTTTTTATTTGGGAAGGTTTATCTACTTTTTAATTTTTCTTTTTTTATTTAGATTTCTAAGATTTTTACTATTTTTGGGGGTAATTTAATTTCCATTGTAAAATTTTATTTTGAAATTTTTTTATCTAATTTCTTTTTTTGCAAGTTTTTGTATTTGTTCTAAGACAGTGCTCATGTTTCGTATTGGATTTTTGCTAATTGTTTTGGTTCGATGCATTTTTCATTGGTTTTCTAAATAATGCAAATAAATCAATTAATTTACAATGTCTTTCAATTTATTTTATGATCAGTTTTATATTTAATTGATTAAGTTTTCATTTATTTTTGCCTTTTTATAGTTTCCCTTTTTTCACAGGATTTTAAAATGTTTTTGTCATTGTTTTGGTTTGTGTGTATTTTCACCAATAAAAAACAGTACTTTTTATATTCTATATTTTCCATTTTTATGAATTTTTGAACTTGCCTTTCATAGAAGAAACTGTAATTTCTGAATTATTTGCTTTCATTTTTGTAAATATTTTTGCTTATAAAATAGTTGTGATTATTTTAGTTTCTCTGCACAGTGCATTAGTATGAGAAGTGATTAAATTAAACACCCCGTTACAAGATTTGAAACTGCAAAAATTAAAGCACATATTTTCTACTAATAACAAATACATACTTTTATTATCCTTTTAGAGGCCATTACATGTGTATTTAATTTCTAGCCTTTAGAAAAAGGCGACAAACAATCCAGAGAGATGCTATCTGCTTGTCCAAACATTCCAGATCACCTTATGTGCCCAAGCTCTGCCCTCATGTGAAACCTTTGACTGACTTTTGTGAATAAGGCCTATTGAGAGTGTGTTGGGCGTTACCTTACTGCCCTCCCACGCTCTCAGGTGAGCATGCTTGGGTCCAGTAAACTCTGTTATCAACCTCTTCCTCCTCTACTCATCCGGCCCCCCCACAAACACCACCTCACTCAAGGGAAGGGATCAATACAGCTGGGCCTTATATCCACATATACCTCTGCGCCCACACCTGGCTGTCCCTGATAACCGCAGGCTCTCACCCCACCTATCGCACACAAAGATATAGCATGCACTGGGATTTATCCTCCCTATTTAAAGCCATCCCAAGCATTACCAACATCAGACGGATCACTGATGGACTTCTTCATGGAGAAATTTGATTAAATTGTGCATATTTCTTTATTTTCTTATCTAAAATGTTTATCAGACGTATTTTTTTATAAAACAAAAGAAAGAGAACTAATTTTGTCCCATGTTCCCAATCACACACAAACTCACACAAGTTATTCAGCCAATTTGTAATGGTGTGAGGTCATATTTGTATATCATGCTATTCAGCAGCTCCAGAAAAAAAAATGTGTTCATGTCTGATTATCTACTGTTTGCCTGTGTGTGTGTGTGTGTGATGTTAATGTGTAACGTCCCGGGTCGATACAGCTGCTCCAGGCTGCTGGCTGAGCTGACAGACTCAATCTGTGTGTGTCAAACTTGTGTGATTAAGGAGTTCATAGTGCTCTGTGGTTTTTATCCACAGGCCTGGTCTCTCTCTCTCTCTCTGCTCCACCTCCCAACTCATTGTGCTTCCTCCCTCTGCTGCCAGCCTGCAGGCTTTTCCCTTCTTCAATCAGTAACTTCCATGAGTCAGTGAGAATCTGGGAGAACAAAATAAGACGAAAAAAGAGAAAGATCATTGTTGTTAAATTATTTTCTTCAGTATTAGGCTCAAAACTGAGAGCATATGGGACAAAGCTGTGCAGATAATGTTATCTGAATACTCTGAGGTAGACCCAGAACGTGGCGATCAATACCAAAGGCTTTGGCTGCCAGCCTGTTCATTGATTGATTGCATCTTGTTTTTCCATCTGCTTTTCCTGGTTTTATCTCTTTGGGTTGTTGGACACTTATTACTCTGTCCTGATAAGGCTGGTGTCTGAATCCACTGACCTCTGGCCAGCAGGGTATTGGAGTTGCAGGGAGACAAACATCTGCAGAGTTAAATAACAGAGAGCACAATAATTCATCATTTTATATTCATGCTTTGCAATGCACGCATATTATTATTATTCAGTGTCTGTAGCTGTTGAGCCTTTTTCACATTGTGTCATGTCACAAGCACAGAATTCCACTTTCCTTTGCAACGTATCTGTCTAAATGATCTAAAATATCCAGCTTCTCTCAAATTAAATCAATTGCAACCAAACTTTTTCAGGAGTTTATTAATTATTGCTTTTATCCTGTGATTTGATCTGAATAAAATGCCTGTCTATGAGAGTTGATGCATGTCCTCCTTTGCTTATTATTTGGATGTCCAGACATGGTGGTGGCAGCACACTGCTGAGGGAATTGTTTGTTTGTTTTTTTGAAGACAATGAAGCTTATTAATGAGAAGGTTAATGGAAATAACTCCAAGGTAATACTGGAAGAAAACCACTTAGAAGTTCAAAACAAAAAAAAATAAAATATAAAGATGTTCAATGCTGATATTTTGGGAGCTGCACTTGTTTTTATTCCCCCTTTCTTTTAGTTACTTAAAAAAATAAAATAAGAAAAATCAAAAGGGAGAAAACCCTATAAATTTTTTGTTTTTCACAAATTGCCTTTGCTTCTCTCCACCTCGCTAAGCCGCCTTATCTCAGCAAACTGGTCCTAATTTGTGTCAATATTGGGTAAAGTACTGAGATGGGGTAAGATAACCTATTTATCACATAACCAACCAGCCATTCAGCCTCCACTGATTAAACAGCACACATTAAGTGGTCCACACAAACAGAGGTTTGGCTCCTCAGACAATTTCCTTGTATCATACAAAACAAGACACGAAAAATAAGCATAACCAAAATACACGTTATCCTAAACATGGACTAAGCATGATCAAAAATAATAGTAGGCCTATAATTTAACACATTCCTTCTAACCAACACTATTATTTGAGATGAACAGAATAACCTTAAATAAAATCCCTCATATAAATACAGGAAAATCTAACACTGTTCACAAACCTTTTTTTTCTTTTCTGTTTCATTATGTCTGCAAATATCTAATAGAGAAATAAACTGTATTTTTTCTAATGCGGGGAAGATTAAAAAAGAAAAGAATCCAAACTACATGAGATTATGTTATAGTTCTCATTATCTGCATTGTCATTTCACAATATAAAGAGTTACTATCAATAAAAATGAACATGTCTGGGAAGTACTAAATGTTTTTGTCCTAGAGGCGCAGTTAAAGCTTTTATTTAGTACATAACACAATTGTGGCTCATACTGCCCCCTGCTGGGCAAACAATACACTACACTCTATTGATTTAACACTGTTTGGAAACTCTCAAATAACAAAATTCTTATCTCCTACTTTCTCACAATGAAAGCAAAAACTAAAAAAGTAATTATGGCCTATACCTTTTTTTGTTTTTTGCATCTATTAAATTAGATTTAAAGGGGACACATTTAACCCACTTTTAAACAGAATTCACAAAAGAATATATGTTTTTTTTTCCTTTTACTTGATAACCAATAACAATGAAGCATCTAACTTAAATAATGGTTCTTTTATCTTTTTTTTTTTTTCTTTTTGCATGAAAGGAATCTAAATTATTTTGGGTGCAAAACACAGAAAGTAAATTTGCACATTTGCTTGACCAAAAGGCATGCAATTTAAGGTTAAGGGAGTTTAAGTGAAACTAAAAAGTATTTTGACTTTTTGCAGATATAATAGAAAGTTTCTTTTACTCTCCGTTCAAAAAGGGTTGCTTTATTTAATAAATTAATTAGAAGCAGATTTGGATGTATAGTTTTGAAGTTAGTGGACAAATGTGGTGATGTTTATTATGAATATTAAAAAAAGAGCAAAAAATTGTATATAAGTCTTTGTGTTACATTTAACATTTTCCACTGTTTGAAATGAATATAAAAGTCTCCTTCTGTACCAAGTATCTGTCCTGTTTCGCTAAATTATTTCTGAACTGCACATTACAGTCAAGCTGTAGCAAATAGACCCATTGGGCCACACTTTGGACACACATGCTATAATAAGAAGGATAAAACATGAAGTTATCTGCAGTTTCTGACTATCAAGATTTGATATGAAAAGTGCAAAGCAAACACAAATTTACAAATCTGGTGTATAGTATGAAGCTTTTAACCCCCAATGGTAGTAACATATGCATGTCTGTAATGCTGAGAGGATTACCAAAGACTAGCTTTATCAAATATCTTTACCTGTAGTGGAAATACTATTCTAATAACAATATTATTACTAATTATAGTTTTATTATCTAAACATAAAATTGTATAAAAGTAATTTTACAAGAGCTTTGGTAAATGTAAAAACTGAGTTTCAAAACAGAAATACTCTTGAATAGCCTGACGTAGTCCGACTCAATTCTAGACTCAAACCTTGTGGGCGGGACTAAGTTCTGACTGGCACCCAGGCTAACTCTTGAATGTAGTTTTATTTCAAAAAGGTATTCAATTAAATTTAACAAATATGATTATTTTAAGGGACAACAAAAACTGGAGATTCAAAATTCAATCTACTCAGATGATTTCCTAAATTTGGTGCTGAATTACACAAGTTAAAATTGCCTTTAATTTATTTTATCAGTTTGCATTTAAAACCTAAATACATAAATTCAGTAACAGCTTTTAATTGGGCTTTTGGTTTAACATTATTTTTTTTTTGTGCATAGGGTCATTCAGGCCACATTTATGAATACAGGAAATTTGAAGGCTGCTTAAGAGCAAAGTGCTTCACAAATACAGACTCTATTTAGTCATTAGTTCCTAAAATTGTATAATAATACACCTAAGTTTCTGGTTTTACAATACTTGTTGGGACTTTCTGGTTTTTGTAAAACTGTATCTGGAACGTGTAACAAAAGTAATTTCCCTCTGGGATTATTAAAGTATTTCTGATTCTGATTTAGCATTGCAATATTTGAAAGTATGAGGTGGTGTGCTGGTGCACTTAACTTTAATGGGAGATGAAAGCTGAAGTTTGTATGGTATTAATGTTTCCGTGTCTAGATTCTTTATAATTTCCCAAAATCAAAATTTTTACCCATAAACACACTTCAAGCTTATATGCATTTGAGGAATGTTTGCACTTTACTGAGCATTTTCCCATGGATTTTCACACAGAAAACCAACAGCATATAGAAAGTTGTTTTTCAGAAGCTAAATTGGGACTAAAACTTTTATTTATTTTTTTAAGTTTTACAATAATTGTTGGGACTTGAAAAATATTTGTGGCAAAATGTTTGCTTTGCGTTTTATTTCATTATCATTTTTAAGCCAACAAAACAAAAGGAGTTTAAGTGAAAACTTTGCAGACCATTTTGCAGCAAATCAATCCAGGAACTAACATCCTCCTCTAGAATGAATTTAGTTCTGGGCTTTTCAGCATTTCTACAACATTGAACAGCTTGGGTAACACTAATATTTTTTGCTTCAACAATATATAACACCAATTTATTTGGATACGGTTCTCAAAATCTTACACAACCTACCAATGTGTTTGCTACAGATTATTAAACCCCCGTAAGTATGTGACAGACTTGGTGAATGTCAAGGATACTGTCATTATTACAATTAAGACAAAAACAGAATCCGTATTGAGTCAAGTTCACCCTCTGTTAAAGTTCAGGTGTCCGTGAATCTACAACAAATGTTAGCAGTACCAGTTTTCATTGTTTGCTCTCCAAACAACAAACAGGCATATTGATCTGGAATAAAATAAAGTATTAATATTTTCTTTTCTGTGATGTGTCCTTTTCCAGGTTCATGTTACAACTTTAGGTGCCAAATGACAAAAATGTTAATTTTCCATCTAGATTCTTTGTTTTCAGCATCTCTTTCCCACTATCTAGGATGCTGAAAGTTAATCAAATGAAATACTTGTTTTTTTTATATAAATTAGGAAGGGGAGGGAAATACTTATAAGAGGTTACAACCCATCCAACAAAAGCCTTTGTTTACCTATGAGGCACGTTTAACTGTGCTTAGACAGTGAAATTGATATTTAATTGGTTAATTATTCATTTTAACATGTTTTTAATAGTTTTGTAGGTAAAGCATTCAGCAACCATGATTTTATTGTTCAAGTCACAGATTCTTAGTCTCAGCTACAATAAAATAGGGATGCAAAAAAAAAAAAAAAGAAAAAAAAAAAAGGAAAATCTAATTTTTTTAGACTTGGGGGAAGAATCTTGCTATAAGGTTGAAAATTGTTAATGACTCCCTAAATGTATTGGCTTTGCTCTTTGAAATTAGTTGAGGAAAAATGCACAATAGGTGCTTGAGAAATGGGTAATGTAACTGAAATTCAAACAACACATTAAAGCCGTCCAGCTTTCAGGCTGGAAATCCACCCGAATACTAAGAGTTGGAACTGATGGTGAAACAGATCTCCCATCGGCCGTACATGGTTTAAGTTGAGGGTTTACCAATGTTTTTTTTGTTTGTTTTTTTATTTATTTCAACCCATCTCTTGGCCTCCAGGATTTCATTTCTGCAGTACTAGTGCAATAAGCCAAGTCAACTACTGTGTAGTCTTCCTTTTGCCCTCTACTGTGCAGATATTTTTATATCTAAAGGAAACATATTCCAGTGCATTGAAACTTTTTTTTATATTGTCTGTTGTATTTTGCATGCTATCTTAGTTTAACTCTGCCCTTTGTACTAAATATAAGCTACTGGAACCAGAATATCCCTGAAGGAGTAATCCTAAGGGATAACAAAAGTTGAGTCTAAGCGTAAGCAATAAAAATGGTGCAAAGCTTGCCCCTCCCCCCATATGGATGATGCTGTACCACAAAAGTAGCTGGTTCTGTAGCACAAACTATGCTCTAATTTACAAGTTAAATCTTAGTGTGACCTCAGAATTATTCTAGCCTAAATTATTCCTTTTGGGAAATCCCAAAGGACATCCGTGTTGGTTTGTTTTTCCTGGCTACTCTTAGCAAATTTGCAATTCCCAGTAATATAAACCAGCAACTTCTCTGCTGATCAGGAGAGCTGTACAAATGCATCAAAAAGAATTAGTGTAGCTGTGTCTCAAATCTTAACATTGCATCTAAACTATTGTTGAATTTGATTAAACTTTCTTTAGGAGTATCAATTAGCTAAGTTAATTTACTTTATTTCAATCTAAATATCAATTCAGTTTAATCAAAAATGCAGATTTTAAGTGCCAGCAAGTTTTTTGAGTTATGTTAATGACCATTAAATTGGTATGCTTTTACAGTATACCTAAATTAATTTGATTTATATTATTTCCTCAGATACTTGTCATACTGGCAGTCAGTGAAATATCACTCATAGGAATCAGTTGAATCATGTGGTTCATGATGTACGCCTATAGAATTCAGTCTATAAAAAAGCAGAACTCCTTTCAATAACCTAAGGAGCTGATGTCCTGCAGTTTAGACCGGACCATGTTCCAACAAAGCTAAATTGACTACTTCAAATTCTTTGAGAGGACGTTAAAGGAACAGGTCATCTGATTTAGGCAACAGCAGTAGACATGGAGAAGCTCTCTAAGCCATAGGACTGAAATGGACCTAATAGGGCAAACATAACCATCAGTCCTGCTCTGATAAACTGAAAATAAATTTGGAGAAACTCAGCAACAGAACGCAATCACAATGAAAACAATCCCATCCATTTCTCCCTTTTCTTTCATTTGTGTGGGTATGTGGATGTAAATGAGTGCTTGTGACATAAGCCCGTCACTCTCAGTTCGCCGGTGAAATGAGGTGCGTTTGATTTCATTTTAGAATATCAAAGGAGGAGAATCATCACCGAGTGAGGGCTTAGTCCTGACGGTTTGATATTCAGTTTAACATCCAAAACAACAAAAAAAGACAGGCAAGATTGTTTGTGTACAAATATCTTTTATTAATTTGAGGGCTTTATGCCATGAACTCGTAGGGGATGGGCTCCAGCAGCTGTGGCTCGTTGTTCTTGGTGCTGACAAAGTGAGCCTCACGGGGAGGAGCAGGCTAAGAGGAAAAAAAAATATCAGTAAGACAGAAATACTAAAAATCAAATCTGAAGACATAAAAAGTGTATTGTTATACAAAGATTTCACACCAAAACAGTCAATGCACTGCATCAAACTGCGGTTTCCTTAGCTCATTTAGATCTGCTCATACCTGGCGTTTCAGTTCCACCCAGGTGCCGTTCTGCTTGGCCTCCAGCTTCTTGCGCTCGTTCTCTTTGACGCGCTGCAGGAAGCTGTCCCTGCTCTTTGAATGCTTCACATGCTCAATGCGCACATTAATCCTTTTAGCCAGAATCTTGCCCCTGAGAAGCAAAAAAAAAAAAAAAAAACAATGGTTAAAAACAAATACCACCTGGCTGTAATCCAATACGACATTACAGTCCTGTGATGTCTCCTCAAAGACGACCCAAAGCCAAAACACCAAGTTCAGACTGGGGTGCGTGAGGATGAGCTATTCTCCCCAACATGAATGACCACCGAGGACAGATGGGCTCCAGGTGGCAAAGTGAAGATGGGGATATTGGAGTGGAAAAACTCCAGAGGTTAAATAAATATATATATATATATATATATATATATATATATATATATATATATATATATATATATATATATATATATTCGCCAGAGTGGCTAATATGTAGCCCCCCCATTTTCAGAACCTACAAAAAAAGACCACTTTTTTACTTACTTGACCTGCTTGTTGACAATAATGCCAACAGCATGCTGAGTGACGTTGTAGACACGCCCTGTTTTGCCGTGGTAGCATTTATGAGGCATACCTTTCTGGACGGTACCTGTGCCCTGAAAAGACATTAAACAATGGGTCAACCATCACCGCCTGATTCCTTCTGCCCATTAGAAACATGGAGGGCATCGGCTACTGCTCAGCAAGCCAAACATCAATAAATCAGCAATATTTGTTAAATTTGAAACCCAAGCCCTTTAAAAAGAAAAATTGCAGATTTTTGCTGGTATTTTATATTCTGGTCTTTTGATTAAACCATAAAGAACCTAAAGTAATAAACTTTTGTTCAACAGTGTACTACAAATTAAAACAGCATCTCACCAATATATAGTTTTAATTTGGCAAAAAATAATGAGCCAATTCACTGCTTTGTGATACACAAAGAATATTTCACAACACTCCAGAGAATCCTTTTATATTTAAGTATCCAAACCTGTTCTACAGCTCTCAAACCATTTAAGGTTTTTCTTTATAACCTGGATGTATAAACGAATGAATAAATGGACGCATAGATGCGGGATGGTTGAACTGGTGAAGAAATCGATTAACTGATGAATGACAAAGTGAAATTGAAGTATTTGGAAGATGAGACAACTAGTGAGGACTTAAAAATGTATTTCAGTTGTTGCTAATTCTATTAGACCACACTTAAAAATACTTCAATTTATTATTTCTCCTAGGTACAGAAACCCTGGATGCCAAACACAGGTTCCCTTAAAATACTTATCTGCATCTTAATAAAAAAAAAGGATGTGGTTCACGGATCCAAATAAAATCCAAAACTCCTCTTGTAACCAGAAGAGCAGCGAAGATTACATTTTGGTCTTGATTCACAATCAGTATCTAAAGATCCAAAGTTACAGTGATTAAAAAGTCTAATACAAGTTTAGAAATGTATCAAAATTAATGATGTCTCATGCTCAGCCTTAAACAATTTTCAGTCAAATTTCACTTCCCTAGAATCTTCATAAGTACAGGAAGCCTTTTCACTATCTATCAGCAGCTGCCAGATTAAAGTTTCTTTTACATAAATCAACACAAAGATCCCTGTATCTTTTTTTCAATTTCTATTTAACGTTACTGTCATTGTCACAAGAACAACGGAATTTTAAAAAGTGCCATCGATTAGTGCATATGCTTAAAAACAAAAATCACTGTCACCACCATTTACACATAATATAAGAAATAAATAACAATTGATACAAAACCATAATAGTACATTCTCACACACACCATCCATGATGATTAATGGTTTTTTTTTTGGTTGCATTTAGTTTTGTTATTGCTGTCGGGTAAAAACTGTCTCTACGGCGGTTTGTTCTTGTTCTGATTGCTCTGTATCTTCTGCCTGAGGGCAACTTTTAGAAAAGTGTGTACAATACCCAGCTGACTAAACCAGGAGAGTCGAACTCCAGTCCTGGTCGAGCATCTTTTAGATACCAGAGGGATATCTGGTCAATACACGTCAATCAAATGGCTGAACTACCTCCTTGATCTGAAGTCTGCTTTTTTAGAGTTCTCTAATGATTTGATTATTTAATTCAGGTGTATTGAAGCAGACATCTAGAAGTTAATTCACAGGACTGGAGTTTGAAACCTGGGACCAACCTGAGGTAAAAAAAAAAAAAAAAAAATTGATTTTGTGTTTCTGCTAATTAACCTAACTAGCTTGATTTCAACAATTATAAAAAGCCCACCTTAATGTCTACGATGTCTCCTTTCTTGTAGATGCGCATATATGTGGACAGAGGGATTGGACCTTTGGAGTAGAGAAAAAAGACGAACATGAACATATAAAATGTAAAATTTTGTTTTCTGTAGTAATGAAGACTTTTCACATCTCAAACACCCTTGGCCATCAATGATGCAACTTTAAATAGTTTATTAAAAGTGTGATCAAGAGGA